GCTCAATCCCTGCTCCAAGAACACATTCCCCAACACCCATTTCCACGGTACCGACAAGGCAACAACACGGCAAAGCAGGTACTGGAGCGAAAGGAAGAATTAGGAACTAAGTAAAGAAACTGAGATGTGCACGCCAGCACTTGGAAAGTGAAAATACACCATTCAAGAGGAAAAGCCTGGCAGAAGCTTTTCCAATTTTGGCATGAGTTCATAAACCCAAAGAACACACGGATTCCAACGCCCAGAACTGAAGATACTTTGAACTTTTTAAAACCCCAGTGCCATGAAATGCTGTTTGATTCAAGAGTCTGAGCTCAACATCATTATTCGTGCACCAGGCAGCAAAGAAAAGAAGTTCTGCGGAGTGGAGGATTCTGTTAAACAAAAACCACTGAGTTTTCGATGTGTCAATAATGCCCATTTGTTTGGAAGACACATCGCTCAGTCAATTTTTAAAAAAGATTTAAAACACAACGGTGGCGAGCAAGCCTTGCAAGCTCCCCGCTAGCGGTCATAAAGTTCCTCTCATTCGCAACACGGAATTTTGCTTTCTTTCTGCCACACTGACAGATCCCAAGTTAAAAATTTCAAGCAAGAAAAAATAAAAAGGTAACCTGAAGGTATCCCAGCGTGTTCAAAAAAATACTCATTCAAACTCCGCCTGGCGCAATTTGACCAGAGTGCCGCTCTAACTTGTGTTAATTTCTTATTTATGTGGCCCAACAGCTACTCCCCCTCTAGGTTCTGAAATCACACCAACTACGCAAAGGGCATACAGCAAAAAAACTATTTATTTTTCTTCTAGAAGTTAATGACTAAAACAAAATAAGCTGCATTTAAAGGCACTTGCATCTAGCCATGCAAATGCTGGGTGCGCATCTTTTTTCAATTATCAAAATGTTAAAAGAATTAATCGCAGCTCAGATTAACTATCATTCAAAAGAAAAACCTATAAGCAGTTATATGGTTTAAATAACGCGTTTAAAAAATTGCAAATCGCACACTATTCTTGTCTACCACTTAGACTGAGCGGACGCGGTGTGGTTACAAATTAAAGTCTTTACATAACCCCCAAAATATCCCAAATGTTTCCTATTTTGACCAGAAATAGGATGCTCTTGTGTAGCTCAACTGGTTTTGACTTTCAAATTGGCGTAATTTAATTTAACTGCTTTTACCAAACCCAGAATCCTGGTACCTATAAAACTGCTATTCTTGTTGCCATCAGAAATTAGACTGATAAATTATTTGGCATGTATGCTGACTTCAGTCTTGCACTTAAACTGAAACATATTAAGTAAGCAAGCATTCAAAACGGGAAAAAAAATTTGTTCCTTTTACTTGCCTACTCACCTTGCCAAGTCTCAAAATAAATAAATAAATAAATAGAGAAAATCCTGGAAAAGTCCTTATGATGAGTTACAAATCCCTAGATAATAAACATTTCCTTCTATGTACCAAAATATTAAGCGTAATATATGCCATCACATATATTTTCTTCTTAAAATGGTAAAATCTCAATTGCAGGGGACGTTCATTTGCAAGCCCGCTGTACCACAGCCCTTCTCTAAAACCTACGGCTGAAAATCTCCCACCCACTGATCTGTGCGAGCAGAAACAAAGTGATTTTTTCCCTCAGTATGATATTCCTGTAGCTCACTGTGCCATGACTCCGTGGGAATTGTTCCTTTCATTTTCACTATGGGAAAACCTTATTAAAATTTAAAAGGTGACATAGTAACAACTACAATAAAATGACAACAGCGACTATTGCTATATGCACCAAAAGATGGAGAAATTTAAAAATCTATTAAAATGTTTATACGAGAATGCTGCATTTAAAGAAAAGAAATAAACCCACGTATCTGATTTTAAAGGAGAATAAAGGCAAATAATTTCCGAATTCAAACAGCCAGGAAGTACTTGAGGTGCCAGCACACAGAAACGTTGATTTGCGCGTCCAACCCGGCTGCGTCGACGCTTGCAGCACGACATGTTTGTGGCCCTGGGTAAATCACACCGGACTTCCTCCGCTCGCTATTTGAAAAACGGGGCAGCTGTGACTTACTCACCTCATACAATCAAGCTCGCTGCGTTCCAATTTATAAAATGCTGAGACCTCCACGCACCGTGCTAAAAAGGCGACCGGTTTTGCTGCTCATAAAGCAGGTCTGAAGACAGACATTGGAAATTTCCAGCGAAGTCTTAACGTAAAACTCCGGGAGCCACCTTTCTCATCCTCTGAATTCGACCAAAGAGAAACTCCAAAGATCAAACGGTGACTGACCGGAAGTCAGGGGCCGGCCAAGGCCGGGCAGAGGGTCTCGGGAGGAGGTTTGCTACCATCCGCCCGCCCTGTGACGGAGAGGAAGGGCGGCTGATCAGCCCGTGCAGAGGCAGTTTGAGCGGTAGCAAGTAGAGTCGCCCGGTGGGGACCTTTTATCAGGACGTTATTTAACCATCCACGCTGGTAACTGCAGCTCCTTCCTCTCAGAAGAGAGAGGGCTACTACGCTCTCCAGTGAAATATCTCTTGCTTGTCTATTGCTGGTAATTCCTATTGTGTTATTCACATCATAGTATAGAATCACAGAATCATGGAATGGCCCAGGCTGGAAGGGACTTTAGAGATCATTTAATCCAACCTCTCTGTCACAGTAGGCAAGTATCTCATAAATATGAATGGTACTTCCTCCCAAAGCTCCTGTGAGGAACCTACAACGACTCCAGCTTGCCAACCTAGGGGTTTGAAGAGGCTCATCTTAAGCCCAGTGAGTGTGTCCCCCGTGCTCGAACACACACAACATCCAAGAGCCTGATCTCCAAATCAGTAGCTTGAATCACAGAAGCATCGCTTCTGTCTTCTTTCTGAGCTTTTGCACAGTGAATGCGATGAAAGAAAACTCATTAATTTATTTTCTTCCAGTCTCTTGGGGTGGTGGTATAAACTGTTACGGAAAAACCAGACAAAACACCATCGGCATATCCTCTCGCCCCGCGCACTCATTCTGTTTGGGCCAACTTTTGCAGCTGAAAGTGCCTCTCGTTTTAAAATTTTGAAATATATCTCCCAGAGGTCAGAACATGGAAACTGTTTTGGGGGCCCAAACAAACACAGTTTAAGCTCAGGTTGCTCAAGCTTAGTAATTTCTCCACACAGTGTCACAAAAATCAACTTCATCAATTTTTTAATACAGATAGTTCCCGGTAAGACCAATTTTTCTATACTGAAGTTCCAAACTTGAATACTCCCAACTCTAAACTCCTTATCGCCTCTTCCAATCATTTTCTAAAGAAACAAATTATCTGACTGTAAAAGCAAATATATTACTTTTCAGTTAATATCCTGTGATTAAAATAAAACCTGCAATTTTCAGTTATTTATAGGACTACATACCTAGAAGTACTGCACAGATAATTATCTGTAAGGGGCCACAAAGGGCCCATATTATTCTCAATGAATTTAACATTTGACCTAATCAAAAGCACTTATGGTCTTAGTTGATATAAAGCAAGAAATTACAAAGAAAATATGCGTCATCTACAAACTCCTCATACATATACAGCTAGAAAACTGAATGCCTATAAAATGGTCAGCGTGCTTTAACATGAGCAGCTAGCTATGCATCCACATACACGTGAATTTTTAAAAACAAGCTGTCCGGGGTTTTTTGTGTTGGGTTTTTTTGTGTTTTTTTTTTCATTTTTGCAGTTCAACTCTGCGCTTGGTATGATATCACCCAACACCTCTCGATGGCAGTATAGTCTTGTACTGTAATACAGTATTATCTACCAAATGCCTCCTTCTACTTCCCTACTTTACTGAACAGAAGAGAGAAGTAGAAATAGCTGAGGCGTTGGGTTTTTTTTGTCCATGGGGAAATAAAACTCACTCTGTAGTGAAAAAAAATTAGTTTAATAACAACCACTTAAAACCACTCCAGTTTAAGAAGCCAGAATGTTTTCTACTTCTTCACGTGTTTAAGTCACCTTGTAATAAACTTTAGTGGAAAACAAACAGATTTTCACCCCCTCATTACAGTAAGGCCAGAAATTCCGGCTCTTTTTAATGTAGCTGCATTCTGTGCCCTTATGAGATTCCTTGAGAAGTGAGCACCCCTTTCGCATCTCCTTCCGTGTTGGCTCGGAAGAGAGCACATCTTGCAGTTCCGGAAGAAAATCCTGTGTTTTCCATCCCAGAAGAAAGTACCCTTTTCCTTTCATCTCGCCTGACCATCCAACTGTTCTTGGGCCTCTAATTAACCTCATTACCTCCTTCAAATCAGGGCTTTTTCCTGTTCTCGGCTGAGACCATTTCGGGTCAGCCCAGATCTTCTTTCTGCATCCCATCCAACCTGTCACATACACCACGTTTTTTAGGTTTCCGGGATGAAGAAAGGATTATTACTGCTATTAGAGCGTTAATATTTCCCAACAATATCACCCAGGGATAGCAATTAATGGTTAACCATTAAAATGCATAAGCAACATATTACACGATTATCCAAAAATCCAACTCTGCCAAAGAAACGGTCTACGATGTCTTGGTTGCTCGTTCCATTTACAAAAAGCCAAGCAGGTGCGAGTATGAAAATTTTAAGTCAACCAATTATCACATTCAGTCATAACAAATATTGCACCCTGTCCCAGGCCCTTACTCCTTGCCAGATGCCAGGTGCAGCTTGTTTTCCTGTGCATTTGCTAGCATCCATTAATCCTGACGAAAGTCAAGGTTCCTGAAGT